AATATATATGTATAAATATATTTTTAGTTTATTTTACAAATATAAAATTTAAAATATAATATATCCTTTGGTTTTTCTAGCTTAGTTGAATTAATGTTGAGATTCGATTTCTGATTTAGTTGTTAATATACACATTTAAAAAAATTATTATTTAATTTAAATTTTATATACATTAAATTAGTTAAAACTTTTCATTTATGTGTAAAATTTTTTAAATTAAAAGTTGATCAGAATGCTCAAAATAATTTTTAAAATTTACAAAATTATGGCAACTAATCACGGATTTTCTTTATAATTAAATAATGCAGATAATTGTATTGTTTTTAAATGGGCCAAATATTTTAAACTGCTGTTTCTTGATTCCTGGAAAATATTTAAAGTATGAGTCTAAAATGAATATATGTCATCTTTTAAAATTTAGATATGCTAGGATCCACTATGTTTTTGCTAATGAAAAATTGATTCAAATCTTTTTTTAACCAATCACACTACTACTTTCACGAGTTTATCTGGCCAAATATTTCAAACTGTTGTTTGTTGATTCCTGAAAAACTATGACTCTAAGGTTAATATATGTCATCTTTTAAACTTTAGATATGCTAGGATCCACTATGTTTTTGCCAATGAAAATATTGATTCAAATTTTTTTTTAATAAATCTGACTACTACTTTCCTGAACTTATCTGGTTTTCGTTATCTAAGAAAAAAATATTTGTCTTTTTTGTAGTATTTTTTGAAAAGGATACTGATCAGCAGTAAGTACTCATTCAGTAAAGAGTGAAATGTAGTAAAAGAGTGTCTGATAAAGAATGTAACGTACACACTGTCTGAAAATTAAGTTTAGTAAACGAACTTGAGGGACTATTTTATGACAGCTCCTTTATTTCTACAAAAAATCTTCAATACAAAATCAGTTTTCCTTTATGACATTTTCAAGTAATGTATTATTTCGTGTCTTAAAAGTTTTCAAAGATATGAACAAAAAGATATATCATTGCATATTATTTTAATACAATGACTTTTAAAAATGTCTATTTTATAAGCTCAAGCTAATGTTACATATCAGTCCTAAATCTGATTAAAATTTTCCAGACGTCTTTATCAAAAGAAACAGCATAGTACTTCTTTCTCAATTTAGTATTGAAATTTGTAATAAATATTTTGCCCATTCTTATTAAAAGTAAAAATTAAATACAAATTCTATGTAATTAAAAAAAAAATATTATAATTTTTTAAATTCACTTAAAACCTGAATATCCTGATAGTTAATTGCTAATACAATTATATATAATTTTATTATAACATTTAATATTTTACCACAAATCGATTTACTTATCACAAACACATATGAATTGAGTTTGTTGAATAAAAACTGAACTCGTGTATAATACAAAGATTTCGTGATTTCATTAAATGTTAATTTTATAATTAGTTACTTAGTTCCATAGAATATTAAATATATTCTATTTATTTTCTATATGCTATTCGTAATTATAGTGTACGATACACTTCACTTGTTCTACATGCCTAATTAAACTCTTTTTCACTTCTGACTTTCTTTTAATTTAAATGCTTTATACTAACACCAACAACAGATTACAATATTTTATAATAATTAACGAAATATATATGCTATGCGATCGAATATATAAAAACAAACGTAAATTACCGCTAACTTTGTGTAAGACAACATTTTAAAATCCTTGTCTAAAGGGATTTGCTGGACCAGCAGGACCTCTACTCCCAGCTGTGCTACCACCTATTGGTTGCTGCTGCTGTTGTTGCTGTTGCTGTTGGAAGGGATTTGCAACACGTTGTTGAGGCAGATGTCGTGTTTCTTGCTGATAAGTACCTCCTTGCTCCTGGTAACCAGGTTGATATTGTTGCTGGTATTGCTGATCTTGTTGATAGCCGCCGCCACCTTGCTGATAGCCTCCCTGAGGTTGATAATCGTAGTTGGCCTCATCCACATTTGTTTCTTGTTCTTGTTGATACTGTTGTCCATATTCAAGATGATTTTTAAAGTTACCATCGACAGGTTGTTGATCGTGCATTACATATGTTTGATATTCCTTATTTGGTGGATCTTGCATAAGTATATTTGCTTCATTCTCAAATGGTTTAAAGTCATATATATTGCGTAGTTTACGCAACACCGGCACATAGAGTAAATTCGAGAAGGCAATTAAAAAGTTAAGTGCTGTAAAACCAATCGCTTCCACTACACCACCAGCTATAATTGGTCCAACAGCATATGCGATTGAGTACGAAATATCGGCGATAGCATAAATGCTTCCGTACACTGAAACGTAACGCACATCCACAAGGTAGCCTAGTGTGGGCAGCAGGGCAGTATCAATAAGTGCGATGCCAAAGCATATGATACAAATGGGTATCATTAGTACCTTATAGGAGCTTGAGAAGGGAATGATAAAGCAGGACAGACCTTCCAATGCTAAGCCAACAGCAGCCATTAACCACTGATGATGTGGATATTTTCTAGCCATTTTAACAGTAATTACCACGCCTAAGACATGTGGAAAGAATGCAGGTAACCACACCATACCTATTTTCCAATTTTCTGTGGTGAGATTATCTTCCATCCATAGCGAAATGGTGGGTTCCAAAAAGGCAAGTGCAACATTTGACATCGTAAGTGCGCCTGCACACACAGCTATATAGGGATCCATTAGAAGGCGCCAAATTGGAATTGTTTGTTGTGAAACTTCTTTACTTTGCTTAAGTGTCTCCTTTACCGGCTTCATAACCAGCAATAACATTAAGCCGTCTATTAAACATACAAATGCTAATATGAGAAATGGCACTTCCTTACCAGCAAATTGATATAGTGCTCCACCAAATGGCGGAGCTACCAAACAACCGAAACTGATAAATGCTAATGCAATACCCAAAGCCTGTGACCGTTCATTTTCTTCAGTAAATCGATCAGCAATCATAGCTAAGCCAGATGTATCAGCAAAAGCAGAACCTGCACCTTGGAGTGAACGTGCAAAAAATAATAATCCATAACTACGTCCACATGCAAATAATGCTGTTGAGAAAAACATAATTATCAATCCAATCATCATTGGTATATCATAACCAATTTTATCAATCAAGCCACCAGAGAATGGATTCACCATTAGCTGCACAATAGCTTTCGAAGCGAATAGTATGCCCGTTGCTGAATCTTGCCCATGATGATCGTGATGCATTGGTATTACTTTTCCGGTACGGTTATCGAGTAGCAGTGGTGCTGGTGTTCCATCTTCGAACCCTCCAATTTCGCGTAAGTAATCTGGTATAATCGGAACAATAACCATATATAACATATTGTCTAATAGCAGTGCTATAGAAACTATAACCAATATCAATCGTCGTTGATTGACTGGTTCCTGTATTTTCTCCCAGACAATATCTTTAACCTCGCGAATTTCGAGATTAATAACCGGAATTTGAAATGAGCCAGCCATTTTGTATTTGTTGCGAGTTCAGTGGGGTCTTACTGTGATGAGGACTTTAAAAAATGTCCTTGTTATGCTCTAAAATTTTTGATGTTGTCTTTTCACTGCTCTATTCGCTAGGATATCTTTTTCTTTATTTCAAAAATAATTTATTTAAAATGTTGTTTTAATATTTCTTTTGTTGGTATTTGTATTTAATATTGTTGCAAAAGTATAATTAATTCAATTGTTTGTTAGTACTATCCGGTTTTGTTGTACTCAGATGTTTGTTTTTTCTTTATGTCAGATGTTTTAGTTGGAAATATCCTTTTCTTCATGGTGTGCCGATTTCACTGCAGTTTCTTATTATTACTGTTATTCTTTTAACAATAAGACTATGACCACTGTTTTTGCAATCCTTGCTGTTGTGAGTTTTCTTAACTGCACGCACATAACTTTTTCAGTTCCTTAAGAAAGTTGAAGTTTACAGCTTCTATTGTGCTGTTCCTGGAACCAATGCCTGTACATCTTTAATGCAGCTGGCGTACGTCTGGACAACCTTTAACGACACAGAAACAAGATTTCGTTAGTTGCGTTTTGTTCATATTTTTTTATTGAATTATATTTTTTTTTAAAAAGCATAAATTTATTTTTCCTGTATATTATTTTTTTTTATTTTTATTTTTTTTTTTTAAATAAACATTAGTAGAGTTTTATGATTGAAATGTTGTTTCTGTGAAGCAAGAGGAAGTCCTGATTATATAAGCCATTGCAAAGATAGTACAAATTTTCAAACAAATGTTTTATGATTTTGACTTAATTAAATTTTTAATGTATTTTCGAGTAGTTAATTAAAAAATAAATTATTTCAAATATCATGTCTGTTAATACTTTTCACTAGTGACACACATTTCAATCATAAAACAATTACTAAATTATTGATTTAAATACATTTCAATATTATAACGATGATAAATATATTTTGAATATGATATTGTATACGTATATATGATTGTATGTATATGACTAATTAAATAATTATAATGTATGTTTATATATAGTATGTGCACTTGATTGCAAATAAATTACTACGAATTTAAATTCAATTAAAATAATTTGTATCTATTTGTTTTAAGGTAAAATTATTTCAGAGATTGGTTGGTTAGGTCAAGTTTTTGATTATTTAATAATCAAATAATTAAAATCATATTTCTGCTAAAACAAGTGAAGTTTGATTATTAATTTCATACAAATAATTTTTCGTGTTAAAGAATACGTTGAATAAATAAATATTTATATATATTGTCAATAGAATTCAAATTTTTAATTAGTATCTGTAATTAAAAATCTTTCATATGATTTTTGCTGTTATTTACAATAACTATATTTTATTTCTGATGTTTGTATTATCTTAAAATGAAATTTGTTTAAAAGAAAATTAAAATAAGGACTAGGAAGGTAATAATACAGATGATCACTAAAATTTGCTTGACAGCTTTTTTAATTATAGAACTTCTACGAAAGATGGTTTAAAAAACTACTATCACATAACTAGCACATGGATCCTTCTTATTCCTCCTCACATCACACATGTATCCTCCTTATTGATTTAAGAAATCCATAATAAAACTTGAATTGGCAGAGTAAGTAAGGAAAATATTTTGATATACTTATAATAATAAAATATACTGCTAGTATATCTATATTGTACTAGAAAAATATAATATTTACGTATATCATTTAGAAAAGTGTTGTTAAAAAATACAGTATTTAAAATATTTAACTTTTATTGAAGTAATATGAAGAAATATTTAAAAAGAGTTTTCTTCGAACAGTAGTGAATTATAACAACAAAAGTTAATTTTATATTATTTTAATTAATTGAATTTTTGGCTTTGGTGTTGAAAATGGTGTTGGAAATAATTCTTGTATTTAATTATTTGTAAATAATTTTTTAAGACTGTAAATACTAAGAATCGAACTCGTGCCCTGCCAAATTTGAAGCTCAGAGTCAGCGCACCTTAACCAATTGACCTAAAGCCCTACTTGACTTTTATGTTCGCACATTTTTCTGTAGTTTTGTTACTTTGCTATGAAAGTTTTATTAACCAATTCACTTGCAGCATTTTTATTAGAACGAAATCATAAAGCAGGTGTAGAATAATTGAAATCATTAATTATATTTTTATTTTTAATTGTTAAATTTCAATACTATTCTTTTTGTAATATTTAAATAAATGCATTCTACTATAAGATTTGGAATATAATTATTTAGAAAAATATGATATATTAATACGTTAAAATGTACAACAATACATGGCAGTAATATAGTGAATAGAAGACTTGGTTCTAAAAAGTCAAGCCGTTATATTATAATTTACTACTAAAAGAATATATAAGTACTAGCAAGTAAACTTAAATAAGATTCCAACCTAATTGTTTTGAGTTCACTTTCTGTTAACAATGTGCTCATTATTTAAAAATTTTCTTATTAATAATGTGAATTTTCTTATTAATAAACTTAATTTTTAAATGTTAAAAAGTATAAATTACTTCTTCTCACTACATGTCGAAGAGTCCTCTTAATTCCTCCATGTATTTTAAGAAATAATGTTAAGTCTAAAATAGTTATCAGTCAAATGATTTTTAAATAAACAGTTATTTGTATTAAATCAATTCGAATTTGTGAACTTTAATTAATTTTAAGTTCTGTATTAACGTATATATTATTTTCAGAATATTTGCTATAATTTTTCAGTGTAGCAAGAAGGATATAAAAAATTTAAATACAAATACTGTGTCTAATATTTATTCATTTAAAAATAATATTGCTGCACGTTTTTGCTCTTGACTTCCATTTATGCATTTATGTGTATGCATATAAACACACCTATATATATATCTCATATATATAAAAAATTTATAAAAGAAAACAACCCCATAAAATGCTCCCAAACCTATAACCAAATTTCAAAGCCTTGTCGTACACACAAACACAAGAACGCGTTGAAATATAATAGAAAAAATTGACTCAAAGGTAACAAGTTGGGGTCGAGTAGTATGGTACTATAGATGTATCTGAATACAGCTTACAATTATATCAGAACACACACAGTGTATACGCTGTGTGATAGCTTGCTAGTGCTAGCTACCCTTATACAATGGCACCATATAATCAAAAATTGAACTCAACACGACATGGTCATGAAAATTTAATGATGAAACGTCGTCTCAACATAGAAATTATGTATTAAATACATACAACCAAAAAGGTGAAATCCTGTCTAGCATTGTACTTATATTGCGTGCAGCTGAAGTGGACCTTTGTATTATTATATTTTTATTTCTGAATGTATTAAAGTAATTGCATTCTGTAGTACCTTTGTGAATGTGAATACGTACGAGTACAATAAAAATGCGTGCTACAAAATATAATTATAATTACACTTATAAAGCTTAAATCGTCGATATGCTTACGTCCTTAATGCGATAGTGCTTAGAGTGTTGTATGACCTTTAAACGGAACTCTGTAGAGGACCTACCATAAGTGTGTACTTAGGCAATCCTTAGTATATATTTATGGTATATTTCACATAAAAATAAATAAAAAATTGAAAATTAAGGTTACAGTGAGAATGGATCAATGTTACATGTTGAATTCAAGTACAAAATTATTAAATTATTATTGATGATCTTGGATAATCAATTTTCTATTATATATTTAATTATATGTTTGATACTTCCAACAAAAAATGAATTTTTATAAATGTATAAAAATTATTAAAAATGAATAAAAAAAATTGAAAACCTCTATTTATAACATATTATGACAAAAATATTTATCAATTTTTTTTTTATTTAATTAATTTTTTATTTAACATAAATGCATTAAAAAAAATGTGTAATATAAATGTATAAAAATTTTTAAAAATAAATAAAAAAAATTGAATAGCTCTATTTATGTTATGACAAAAATATTTATCAATATTTTTTTATATAATATATTTTTAATTTAGTTTATATAACATGACACTCAAAATTTTGTATGCTGAAAACAATACTTTGAAAAGATGATTAATTTGGTCGTTTTAAGAATCACTTTTTTCTTAAGTTTTTAATTATTTTGCAGGTTAACATTTTTTATATTGAAATCTCTAATTTTCTTGAAAGCAGATCCTACACAAAACTAGTTTCTATTTTTACACACGCCAATGTATCAATTTACGACAATCACAAATAGTTTAAATCCTCACAGAAATACCCTAATCGGTTCCCGCTTTTGCTATTTGCAAGTGAGGTTTAAGTTTTAAAAATCCTCAATGGATTTGCTTATACTTTACTATCACAGTTAAAAGTAATAATATCAGTGCAATTTCTAACTGCAATCACAAATTTGATTCACTGAAAGAGAAAAGAGAAGAGAAGAGAAAATAGCTTATCAAAGTGTTTAGAGTTCTTTAAACATCCTTAACCATCAGGAACTATCTCCATTAAACATCCTAAACTATCTCCATTTCTACTTTTGTATATGTATCTTAACCGTTGATGTTTGCTGTAGCCAGTTTAACTTAAATTTATCAATTTAAGTTCTAACAACAAAATTATCTTTGGTGCAGAAAAGATAAAAATATTTCACTAAATTTATTGAAATGTAATGCAACTCTAAGGTGTAAGTCCATATTAACTTAGGTTAACACTTACAAATCACTATACCTTTAGATGTTGAATCTAATGTACTTTCAATCTGTTAATATGATTTTTTATAAAATTTCCCTGATCTCACTAGATCGAAGTATATGGCTGTCCCATTTTTTAATTTCGTATGCCCATTAGACATTACTTAAGTATATGAATTTGTATATCATTCAATGTTCGTTTCTTTACTTTGCCTCAGCTATATACTATATTTATAAAACTGAATACATATATATATATATACATATTTAAAGAAAATTATTTCAGCAAGTTCTTGTTGATATGTAAAATGTGTCGTTTTTGAAAATTTGGTAATGATTAATTATGGATATTACCATATTATGATCTTTTGAACAAAGAAAGGTTTAAAATTGAAATTAATGGGATGTTTTATTGGGTAATATTTCAAACTAAGACTTATTTTCTAATAAAAATCACTTACATTAAATAATTTTTAATGTCAATATGATAGTTACTTTAATAGAAACTTTGGTATTTCATAGAGAGGTTTCGAAAAGTAGTGAACTACAGGAATAAAAATTATTGTTGCTTCAAATTTGGCAGGGCACGAGTTTGATTCCCGGTACTTGAAGTCTCAAAAAAAGGATTTGCGAATAATTAAATAGAAGAAATAATTTTCAAGATCACTGATGATGGCTATTTGGCAATACTCGAAAAAGCTCTATGGTCTAAAATAATATAAAAGAATTTTTCTTGTTGTAGTTTACTACCTTTTGAAAGCTCTCTAATAATCATTTACCACAAAAAATATTATTCACAACACTAACATTACAGTATATTTATTACTTATTTACTCAAAAATAAAAAAAAAATACTAAAAGCAACTGCTAT